TGATTTTTGCCTTCATTGACTGTACTATTATGAAAACAAAGATTGAACTATATTTCCTTGATACTGTTACATGTGTTGTGTACTAACTCATTTAGATGTGATTTTATGGTAATTTAATGTCTGACTGACATGGAACCTACTCTTAAAGTGCCAACAATTAGGGAGTTTACCCTATAGTGTAATGTTTTCTTGTCTTATAACTATTAATTTTATTCAAAATGATTAAGTGAAATTGGAACGATATAGCCCACGGTTGTACTGATACAATCGTCATAGTTTAAAATTATGTTGATTTATTTATTGTCTCTAGTACGACTTGACTTGGCGGGCTATCTGAAAAACGGTTTTTTTTGTCTGACAGCTTCAAATTTGAGTTTTTTCAAATAATACTTTGGAACAATGTTAGGAACAACTAGAACAACTTGGAACAACTAAAAAAATATTGAATTTCCAAACATGGGGGGCTACCATAAAAACGTTTTTTTTGTCTGGCAGCTTCAAATTTGAATATTTTCAAATAATACTTTGGAACAATGTTCGGAACAACTAGAACAACTTGGAACAACTAAAAAAATATTGAATTTCCAAATATGGGGGGCTACCATAGAAAAACGGTTTTTCTTGTCTGGCAGCTTCAAATTTTAGTTTTTTCAAATAATACTTTGGAACAATGTAGAACAAACATAGAACAACCCAGAACAACCTAGATAATAATAAAATTCAAAAAGTGGGGGGCTAACTTCACAGAGGTATTATAGGGGGAGAAAGTTTGTATGAGAAACCAACTTTACCACGCAGGCGAATTAACCGGCACCCTCTATCATAGGTAATCTATACATATAATAAAATGGTAGAAAAGTCAAAACTGTTCATTGTATTTTGTTTTAAAAGAATACTTGGGGTGTGATTTACAATCGATACCAAAGCCAAAAATATAGTTTTTAGAATTTTTGTGTTTGTATGTCCGGGATAAACTAAAAAAGTACTGCATGGATTTACTTCAAATTTGGCACGAATATTATTATGAAGTAAAGTCAACATATTATAGGCTACATATTATCATATCATCTATCGCTATCACCTACGGGGAACGAGCAGTAACAGAGCAGAACACCACGCGTAGGGGAGAGTGGGTAACAGTGGATCACGGGTCACAGCGGATTATTCGCTATAATTCTTACGTCTGATGCTTTACGCACACAAGCAAACGCGTGGCTACTGCTGGTCGATACCCCCCTCTCACGCGCCGGTCGCCGCCGCGCTCGCCGAGCGGAATCACGTGCTGTCACACGCAGACCAATAGGTAAGTACGAAAGTATTTTTTTACGTAATTTAAAAATTTGTCGTATTCCCAACCCTTTAATAAATATAAATGATAGTCGTATGTTTTGAACTTGTTATTTGATAAATCCGTTATGGGTAATCTAATTTTGGCTTGAGTATAAGTAGTTATTTATTGAATATTTTTTTTGTGTCGTACCGGCCTATGGGTCACAGTGAATAATTTTCATTTGGGTCACAGCGGACTGTAGCTGCACGGTAGCGCTGCATGATATTAAGATGATTTTACCAAAACCTACGTTTTCTGGGACTACAAAGAGGAAGCAAGGCATGTACAACTTTAACGTTGATCTTTCTAACATTAATTTACGCTAATCTAATTTAATTTGACCTCAATCCGAATCTCAGACAATTTTGAGATATCAGAAAATGAAAATATTTGTTTTTATAGTTTATTTTTAATAGTTGATAAATCAACAATGTTCTTATTAAAGTTTACATTAATGATTACTCGAGGAGTAAATATATTTATATTTAATAGTTGAGTTAGCATTTAACAAAATTCTTATTAAAATGTTTGTTAATAATTACTGAAGAAGTAAATATGTTTATTTGAATACAGAAGAGAACTTTGTGGAAATGAAAGGAGAAGAAGTGTTGTTTATTTAAACAAAGTGTTGATTAGTTTAGGTCTCTTTATACCAGCATAATTTGAAAGACTTGTTAATTTTTGATAAGACTGTGATAGAAGGCTGTCTTAGAATATAAATAAATAAATAATTATGAAGAAAATTGGTATTCTATTGAACTTTTTTTTAAAAGATCCAGTGTACCCCAAGCGATTCCCTGTCACCCATGAAAAGATCCAAAGTGACCCATCCACGGGTCACAGTGGATCATTTCCCATTTTTTAAAAAACTTGTTATAACTTGTTAATTTATGCCGTTTTTACCAATAATTGCACCTGGTTTTGTAGATTAGGGACATATCTTGTGGTTAATTATCATAGATTAATTATTTACGCATAAACTTGGGATTTGTGGAGCTTGAAAAAAAAAGTGATCCATTGTTACCCACTCTCCCCTACGAAGTCGCGGGCGGCTGCTAGTATATGATGACTAGTATTTAACTACAAATCAAAAAAATGATATTGTATATAAAAAATAATTCCCAATCCTAAGCAAAAATACTTATTGCACAGCAAAATAGTCACCTCAAAATATTCTTATAATAATAATAAATCTTTATTGTGTATGGAACAAGGTAATATGAAAATACAGGTGTTAATGCTAATGTACAGTGCCATTTAAACCTAACTTTTCAGGCGAATACACATTTATATTGTACGTATAGGAACTATTTGAATATTCCTACTTATATTCTAAATACTCTTGGATTCTATAAAAACATTTTTGGCTAAGCCAATCCTTAAGTATTTTTTTAAATAACAATTTCAGTTCGTGATGCATCGCTATTTATTTAAAACTAAAGCTTTTTTACGAATGCATAGCTAATAATAACCACCTCACAACAAATATATTACATCATTTTTTAAAACAAAGCTGCCATTTTTATCTCATGCAGCAGTTTACCTTTAGTTTTTAGCAGTGAAACACCATTTTAATTGACATAAAAATCTAATTATTGAAGTAAAACTTCTTTAGGCACGCTTGACTTGGGGGGTAAGCTGGCGAATGTGTTACGATTAGTGTCATTGGTGACTCTCGGTAAACAATGAACAATACCCTTCACAAAACGTGATAACGGACCCAATGCGGATTGGTGGGTGATAATTTACCCAGCGCGGATTGGTGGATGATAACGGACTCAGTGCGGATTGGTGAGTGATACCGGACCCAGCGCGGATTGGTGGGTGATAATGGACCTGGTGCGGATAGGAAGGCAATAACGGACCCAGCGCGGATTGGTTGGTGACAATGGACCCAGTGCGGATTGGTGGGTGATAATGGACCCAGCGCGGATGGCGGGTGATAACGGATTCAGTGCGGATTGGTGGATGATAACGGACCCAGTGCGGATTGGGGGGTGATAACCTTAGATTAAAACAAAAAGGGTAGATACGGCACTGGCCTCACAAAAATGATCCGCGTGAATTGTGGTCCACGACCCTAATCGCTTTAGTCACAACTTGACATGCAAACGACGTACATGTGAATTCCAAAAAGAAATATTGCTAATATTTTGTGTTTATATGATAAAACAATGCTTAAGTGTGTTTTTAAAAAGTGCTCAAATTGCTCAAGAACTGAAAATAAAACCCACGGCATCACTTTTCATTCGCAAGAACTATAAAATATATTTTTTCATAAAAATTGCTGTTTGTTTCACAGACATATAATACTATAGGTTTGTTTTGAATCTTATTCGGTAGTGACGTCGAGTACTGGTCGCGTGATTGGTCGGTAGTGCAGTGACGCGGATCTCGCCGTCCCGTTCACGCTGCCGTGGGATGTTTTTATTTGATGCAAGTATGAGCGTACCGTATCTACCCTTTTTGTTTTAAACTAAGGTGATAACGGACTCAGCGCGGATTGGTGGGTGATAATGGACCCAGTGCTGATTGGGGGGTAATAAGAAGGATAACAGACGTAGCGCGGATAGGTGTTTTTTTTTCTATCAACAAATCTTCAGGTTAAGTTTATGATTTTCAGATCATTGGAGTTAAAGAAGTTTCACTTCAGGTGTTATTTTTATAACCATCAAAAGTGTCCCAATGTTGAGCAAGTTTTGAAATGCTTTGGGACACCTGTTGCAAAAATAGTTGTTTTGTTATGAGTGTGAGTATTTTGCGTCGAAGCCCTGGGTAATTTTCTATGCAACAAAATTTTGCTGTGCAATCAGTATATTTGCTGTGCAAGCAATCAGTATATTTGATAAGAAAATCATATATCTGTAAAATTAAACAAGTTTTTTGTTACTACAGATTAGATGTTTATTTTTGAATAATTTTCAGCACTAGTTTTGTTTGCAGTAAAATAATTATTTTGATGTAAAAAGTATTTAAATGCTGTAAATCACTTAATGGGGTAATAAGTTATTTGTTGTGTATTTAAAAATATCCCGTATATAATAAATGAGAAAGTAAGTTTGAGTATCAAATGGATGGGGACAGTAAATTTCTGTCCTGAAAATAAAAATAAAACTTGGGAGTAAATAAATCTATACATATAATAAAATGGTAGGAAAGTCAAAACTGTACATTGCATATTTTTTTTATATTTATATTTTTACCCGTTTTTGCAATATTTTTCATCAATGCTCTGCTGCTACCGAGTTATAGCCTGATGTTATATAGCATATAGCCTTCCTTGAGAAATGCACTATCTAATAGAAAAATAAATTTTCAAATCAGAACAGAGGAGCAATGGTGATTTCGGTACAATGGGTCCTAAACTAAACAACATTTTTGTTTCTTGGAATGGAAGGTTTATAATTATTATGAAGAAAGTCGTTGTGTATAATACAAGCCTTTGAACAAAAACTATAGTCTACACTACAGCTCTACACCGAAGCGAAGCGAGGGCAGGCCACTCCTTACTTATAAACACGAAAGTACAACATTTTTGATCAGTATGACTGTAGTGTATACTGGAGCAGCTGAAATGAAAGATGGATGAACTCACTTTAGATTCTGATATGGGGGTGAACAGTTGTCTCCCACAATTGTATGTAAAATAAGAATTTTAGTACAGGATTTACATAAATTGTTCTGAACTCTGAACACAGGCAAATCTTTGACAAAGCTAGTAAGTAATACAATAATTTTAAATCAAAAACTTTTATTTTTATCACTCACAATGTTTTGTTCATATTAATTAACATTTCTACTTCAACTAAACAGCCTTGCAATTATGAGGAATGCATGAAAAAAATATACTAACCACATCTATTACACCTCAGCCTTCACTTCAAAATCACTGTCAAAATATGATAACTTGCTGTGTAAAAGAGAGAGAAAATAAATTTCCAAAAAGTTGTTGATATATAAATAAATTAATTCCTTTCATTACCACATTATCTACATAAGCTACTGTGGATTTCTTTTACTTGAAAAATAGTGTAGTATAAAAATGCTAGCTCCACCACAACATTATATTCTTAATAATGTGTGTAGAAACCTTACTGGTATTGATTTTGACATATCTTACACATTAACACATCACATATAAGTGAATCTGTAATAATTTAAAGTTCATCATGTGAAGACTGATTTTGTGTTGCATTAGAGTCATCACATGCAGCTGGAGTTTCAAGTTCAATTTTATATTCACAGCGGAATGGTTCAGTGACAGATAAAAGTTTAGTTTCTAGACCACAGTTTATATTGACTATAGTCATTCTATTGGGTCCATTCCAACAGCCCATGCCATTTGTGTATTTCATTGCTGAATATTTATTATCACTACCAGCCCATTCTCCCCAGCTACCAAGAGATACTTCTGAACCACCATTCTTTGACTTTTGAGTCACCTTCTGGAATAGACAGAGCTTATAAATATACTCTTTGTCTTCATATTCTAAACATTGGCCATCTAAAGTAGCCCATTCTTGAAGTAAACCATAATCTTTTTCTAAATTTTCTTTAATGTTTCTAATGTTTGATTCTATTTCCCTCACTGTACGTTCAGCATCAGTAAGCTGACGACGAGCTTCAGTTGCATCATCAACTAATTTTTGAGTGTCATCATCATAAGTTTTATGTTGTTCCTGCTCTACTTCTTGTTCCTCATGGTCATCTTGTGGAAGATCTATATCAAGACTATCATCTTCTATTCCTAAATCTTCAGCATCATGGTCCTCTTTTGGGTCAACAGCTTCAATGTCTTGATCCACCTCCCCTTCAGCTTGAGCAGGACGGAACATACCCTGTTCCATCATCAACAATGGTTTAAGTAGGGGCCATGTTATAGAAATGAAAGTATCTTGATCAACTGATTCATTTTCACCAAAGAAATATTTTGTTTCCTCTTCATCAACCTGCCCATCCTTATCTTTATCAAAAGCATTAACTACTTTTATTTCATCTATTGTAAGAATAGCATCACTATTTGCATCAAATCTAATGAAATGCTCTGTAGCCTCTTTAACCAATTTCTCCTTTTCCTCTTCAGCCTTTAGCTGCCTCTCTTTTTCTTCTGCATCTCTATAAACTTTAAGTGCTTCATTTTCTTTGGATTCCAATTCATTTTTTAGCACTTCCTTTTCAGATTTGATTTTTTCAGCTTCAGCCTTATCACTCTCAAGTTGTGAGAGTTGTTCTGCCATCTCATTTCGTCTCTTATTACCCTTTTCAATTAATTCTAATCTCACATGGCTACCTGCTTTATGAATTTCAGCTAACCTCTGAGCTTCTGCTCTGGCTTCCCTACCGAGTTCTTCACAAATATTGGAACATATATTAGGGAATGCATACTCATCAGTGCCATCACAGCAGTCACAGACACCATCGTTGACTCGGGAGCTAGGTATGTTCTGAGCTCTGTGCCCGGCATTTGTACAATGGAACACGCCGTTCAAACACGCAGAAGTCCCAGGTTCATCGCTACCGTCGAAACAGTCACAATAATCGTCATTTACGTAGCTAAATGGTATAGTAACAGTACCGTCGAAACACGTAAAATCTTTTGTCGGCGAATACAGCGATGCTTTAGATAAAGACACACCGCGAGGTCTTGGCACGTCCGATTGAACAAAAATAACTGTAGAACTTATGATTAAAACAAACGAATAGAATCTGTTGATCCATGTTGAACATATCATGATTTTACAGTTGTATCAAATACCCTGATCACGAAACTGATGCGAAGAAATCACTGTAGTGTAGATTTTATATTGACTTGATAAATGACAACATAGACGTCGTCTGACAGATGACAGCGCTGACGTTTACCAATCAGCGTTTGGTATAGAGTACACCATTCTCGGCAAAGTTCTATAAGGCTGACTAAACACATCGCGTTTAATAATAATAATAATAACATTTATTTCAGATTATTCATCCATAATGGTTAGTAACAATTATGCTTACAAATCTAGTGTTAGTAAATTGAATCCATAAAATAAAATTAAATAAAAACAAAAAGAAACATATTAATAATAAATAAAAATACAAATAAAATAAACGACTAAGGAGCTGCTTATGCACTGGATTCATCTGCATACAGCGGCGGTGAATCCCAGCGTTCGGACAGCGCGTGCACAATACTGTTTGGGCTGGCGCGCACGCGCGATAGCAGCGACCCACTACGCTTGCGCATTATTGCATAAAATTAATCCATTCGGTTAAAAATTTAATGGTATCGATTCTGGCATGATTATATATATCTTGATTTAAACTTGACAACAGTAGTGGTGGACACAATGGTGTCCCGGCATGATTCTCCTATCCTAAATTTCAATTTGACAGCAGCGTATCCTTACCATTCTACATACAGAATGAAAAGGAAAGCCTGATGTTAAATTTAGTTTTAAGTTAAGAAAATCATAAATTGAGCTTGTCTTTTCACAGAAAAAACTTACTCTTAATTTTTGATTAATTTCAAATCATTATATTCGATATACCTAAAAACTTTTTTAAAAACAAGCTTTTCTTTATATGAGCTAGAAAGAAGAAAATGAGATTTTCCTTTAAACTTTTACTATGAACTTATAACGCCATTACACAATTTATTACAGGGTGGCCGGGGAGTTGACGTTCAAGCGTAAAATTTAGATACTTTAATATGAGGAGTATCAGAATCACCCCCATGTATGTTCTACGATTTTGCGTAGTTTTCGAGTTATAATTTTTTTCGTAATTTTCACCTAACATCAGTTTTCGATTTATTTTCTCATTCTGTTGGACGTTTCTGGTTCAGTTTTTTTGTGATAACTGACTAACATAGTCTAACCTAGCACCCTAAAACTTATGGTTTATCTAGGCATTGCAGAATTTACTTAGAATTTGTTTGAAAGTTCAAAATTACGATTTGAGCTCAGTACACACAAATTTTCAAAGTATCAAAAATGTAAATGGAAACATTAAATTTAAAACAAGGCTAAATAAAGATAAGGTTACTGCGGGTTTTGGAGTTTACTCCTTAAGAATCTATTTCCATATATAAGGTGCCCGGTATGAGAAAAATGTGAGGAGTAAAATCTATCGATGAATGACCTCGTTACATTTTTGGTGCGCATCCTATGTCGCGCAACTTTGACAAACAAAGATGACGGATTGACATTAATATTTTTTGAAGTTATACTTCTTTAGGCGCGTTATGAAAAAATGATGAGAGTGAAATTTTAAGATGCGCGCGCATCACTGTAACACAAAATTTTAACAGCATGAAGTTGGTCGCTTTAGCGACCAACTTCATGCGTTACTTTTTTGTTTACCGCACATTAAGAAAATCTACCAACAAAATAGAAATAGAATCTCTATTTAGTGGGTGCTAACGACTGCATTGAGAAGGCCTATCAAAAGTATTTATTAATCTGGAACAACGGAACCAAAGCGCGATTCAGGAGACTACAGCGCCATCTCTTGACCATTGGTGTAGTAGAACCAAAAACCACATCTTTATTTTTTGTAATAAAGTAACAGTTATAGGTATTCATATTTATAATATTTATCCACATGTTTCTAGTTTGTATATTCGGAATACGTGTTTGAGTTTCATACAAGTGCAAATCACATATATTCTAATAAATTATATTCAGTAGCGATTTTAATTGAATATTTTGATTATTTATTTATTTTTTCAAATTAAAACTGAACTTTATTGACTGTGTCCTTTTCCAGACTTTTTATTAATTTATTGTAATTAATTATTTGCATGCAATTAAAAACTAATTTTAAACGATGCCAAAGAAGGATAACTTCTCACGCGCCTACATAAGTACACGCACCCATTTTTTTAAAATCTGAACTGAATTTAGATATTGTTTCTGATAGAGCAATGGGGACAACGAGGTATGGTACAACCATTGATGCGGTATTTTCAAGATTCGTGAACCACGTATCTACGAACGTCCATGTGTCTTATTTTAGTTACCATAAATCACTTGTCACTGTAATTAATAATGCAGACAATGTTGATTTAATTAATATTTAAAAAAATGATAATAGTCTGATAGTAATAATTACATAATTTATCAACATTCCTAATGATATATTTATGCACATCTGAAATTGACTATTGTAAAAAGTTTAATGTAAAATATTTAGTCGATTATAATAAATGTATATGAAATGAATAAATATATATTTATATATGTATTTTATATTCATTAAATTTGTTAATTTACCATTTCGTACAGTATCAATCTTTTTTAAGTTAAATAAACTCTTTTTGCGTCTGGTTAGACTTTCGAACTTAAGGAGTAAACTCCAGTCGTGCGTCGGAGCAGACACACACATTTTTTTTTCTGTAACTGGCCTTCAAAGTAAATTAAGGCATTTTTCAAGGAAAAAAATTATTATTTTCTTTTATTTAAATCTTTGCCTATCACTCAGTTATGATGGATTTGAGTAAAACACAGTTGTTAATGACCTAAATTCTATGTACTACTACTTACTTACTCGTCTTGTTCTGCCGTTTTTTCTCGACCACTATTTGCCTACTGATATCGCCGCTGCTTACTTGTTTGACCGCTGCTTGTTACTGGATTCCGTAGTGCCTAACGATTTGGACTGTAGTTACTTGGAAGTGTTAGTGTTGCCCTACACTCTGAGTGAATATGCAGAAATGCATTATTTCTACGGGGATCAACTTCAATGCCGAGGCGGAGCGCAACCTGATCATTACCCTGACTATCGTGTGTTCATTAATACTCACAATACGTTAACGGCAGGCCGCATTCCTGGCCAACGTGGCGGTGAAGGCATTCAGAGGGTTCATCAGGAACGCAGGGAAATCGTACTGGAAGAAGTGCAACGCAATAGTAGTACAAGTACGAGAGCATTAGCTCGTAACCTTGGCATACCAAGATCTTCAATACAGGATATTTTGCGTGAAGAATCATTTCACGCTGACCACATACAAAAAGTACAAGCGTTGCGGCCTTCAGATTATCAATTGAGAGTCGAGTTCTGTAGAACTATGTTGCAGAAAGAGGAAGAAGATCCCGGATACTCTAATAAAATCTTGTGGACCGACGAGTCAAGTTTTGAGCGAACTGGGGTTTTCAATATCCTCAATTTTCACATTTGTGCCGTTGAAAATCCACATGCCGCCAGACCATCATCATTATAACATTGTTTTAGCGTTGACATGTGGTCTGGTGTTTAGAACGACGAATTAATAGGCGCATTTGAACTGCCATCGAGATTAGACGGCGACACATACAAAAGTTTTTTAGAAGACAATCTACCCATATCACTGGAAGATGTAAATCTTGAATTAAGAAGAACGATGGTATTCCAGAACGACGGGTGCCATGTCATTACGCGACACAAGTGCGTTGCCATTTAGACTAGACCTACCCCAACAGGTGGATAGGGCCAATTGCCTGGCCACCACGCTCGCCTGACCTCCACCATATTGATTTTTTTATCTGGGGCTACTTTAAAGAAATTGCGTACGCCAGAGAAGCTTCGAGTGAAGAAGAACTGAGAGCAAAAATTCGCGAAGCTGAAACCACTGTGAAAAATAACCGTAAAGCTTTTAGGCACCTAAAACATATTTTTTTGCGCAGATGTAGATTGTGTATTTCTGTGGTTGGGCAAAATTTTGAAATTTGCTTAAATAAATGTATTTTGTTAACAATTAACTGCGTTTTACTCAAATCCATCATAACTCATAGAAAGTCAAAGGTTTAAATAAAATAAAATAATTCCTTTGAAAATGCCTTAATTTACTTTGAAGGTCAGTTACAGAAAATAAACTCCCATTAACCCTTTCTTTATTTGGCCTTGTTTGAAAGTTTAATATCTCAGAAAGTTTCTAAAAGCACTTTGCACCCCCCCCCCCCCCCCCCCATTTACATTTTTTTTGATACTTTGAAAATTTGTGTGTACTGAGCTCAAATAGTAATTTTGAACTTTCGAACAAATTCTAAGTGAATTCTGCAATGCCTAGATAAACCCTAAGTTTTAAGGTGATAGGTTAGACTATGTTAGTCAGTTATTACAAAAAAACTGAACCAGAAACGTCCAACAGAATGCGACAAAATCGAAAACGGATGTTAGGTGAAAATTACGAAAAATATCATTAAAAAAATTATAACTCGAAAACTACGCAAAATCGTAGAACATGGGGGTGATTTGGTTACTCCTCATCATAAAGTATCTAAATTTTACGCTTGAACGTCAACTCCTCGGCCACCCTGTATAAAAGCTTGTCGCGAGATTTACCTGTGTAGGTAAACAAAATTTGATCAGATTGATTTTAACGTTTTAAATTTTCATATTATAACTACCGGTACCTACTTAAATATGGTGACAAGCTTTTATATTATGAAAATTGTCTAATGACGTTATAAGTTTCATAGTAAAAGTTTTAAAGGAAAAACAGTTTTCGAGTTATTCTCTTCAAGTCCTTTCATTTGATACCCATATTGTAGGAATACATAAAAAAAATAGTCTGCCATGTTTTAAGACCACCATATTAGATGTAAGGTAACGTCACTTTATTTTACGAGTTATTTTCAGCCAAAGACTTTTTTGTTTTCAGCAAGCCCTTTCATTTGATACCCATATTGTAGGAATGCATCAAAAACAAGCAGTCCACCATCTTGTACGTTCCGACATATTGGATTTAGAATGACGTCACACAGCTCACCAAGCATTGCCATCCAAGCTAAACGTGTATAAAAAAAATCAGGTCAATTGAATGAAAGCATCTGCTTTAAAATTGAGTTGCAAGATTTCACCCTAACAAGCATACATACATTGCAAGTTAAATAAAAGCTTTTAATTAAATGTTTTTCAGATGGTACCTCGCGAAGTAAGTGTTATAAGTAAAGTCCTCTACGCACTATCTATCTTGCTGGATCCAGCGTCATGACAGGGTAGCTATACATATAAAAAAAGTGGATATATACGATATTATTTAAGTGTATAGCGCTGTGTCGCACATTGAATCCAGCAAGATGGATAACGCGTAGAGGACTTAACGGATTTGTGCTGTATGATTTTGAGTTTCACTTGCACCTTAGTTTCATAAAACAATATTTTGCATATCAGTCTCTTGAATCAATAAAACAATCGTTAATTTAAATGTCGTGAATCGCTTTTCAAAAAATATCGATTCACGTTGGTCACTCATGTTGGTTGGATTTGATTGATTGTGATGTTGTTAGGGATATTCGATATCGATTCAATTAATCGATTAATCGTTTGTAAAATTTTGCCCATTAATCGATTAATCTATAATATAAAATAATCGATGTAATCGATATAATGTATAATGTATAATCGATGTAATCGATTATTTTACATCGATTAATCGATTCGTAATGACCTTCATTATGGTCTTGTCAATTCATACATTAACAATGCCTAAATATGAAACACGTCTCAAAAATCATCATAACTAACTTCGACAGCCGACAGACAGCTTTGTCCATATAATACCCACTGTTACTTTAGTCTTTAAAACCATCTCTGTCTATATGTAATAATGTATAACGTTTATGCAGTTGAAGCTACGTATGTTTCTTCTAGATGTCAAACTGGAAGAAAACGTTCATGGTGGCAAAAGACCATAGGCATTAGTCATTTATTCCATAAAAACAATATTACATTGTTTCGGAAATTATGTTAACCTCTTACCGCATACGAAGCCATTGGTGGCTCTAAAACTTTGGCATTTTTTTTTAGAATTCTATTTTATTTTTATTTCAAAACAATTGTTATAAATATCTTATAAATATTTTCGTGTAACGGAACGTATTTTTTATTGGTCTATGGTTGGTGACATTTGTCAAAATATTAGAGGTTATGTGCAGCGCGGCCCACCGTTCGGATGTAGAAATATAATGTTAATTTTATTTGTGATAAGAAAGTAATAAATCGGTAAGTTAAAAATCCTAGAATTTTATATTGTGATATATATATGTGCTATAACATGAAACGGGTGCTTTTTTGGTATTTTATTTTGTTTTACTTGACTTATGGATCCTTTTTTGAAATTGCCATTTTTGGCTTCGTATGCATTCACGTTAACATTTCTAACGCTCATAAATGGCTTTGTGTGTGTTCATTTGCCTTTTTTCTTTCTTTGCAGCAATGAATCCTTCTCGCTTTTATGGTACTTCCAAGCATGTTAACCCTATTCCTTGCGATGGCTTTATGAGTGACGATGAGCTTTCATCTGACAATTTTGACCACTTTCCCGAATGGAAACAAAATCGACAATTATGTCAGGGATGTTCAAAATATCGATCATTCACTATGTGTGATTTGTGTTACAATGATAAACGTAACTGTTTTAAATATTTTCATAAGATTTAAGTTTCTATAATGTTCCTAATGCATACGAAGCCATATATGGATATCTATTATTTCACTAGACTTCATACGAATCCATATATGGCTTTGTGGGCTAAATTCTAAATAAGTAAAAAACATTTTTTTTATTATTATTAATTTCTTAATAAAGACTAATAAAAGATACAATCGCTAATATTTTTGTTTTATTTCATCCGTTTTATAATTCATGCAATAAGGGGTTAAGTACCTACATAGAAATAAATCCCAAAAACAAAACCCTAACATAGCTTGGGATACTATTAAAAACCAATATCCAAAAATTTATAGTGGCAATCAGACATTTATCAATCATTTCCACGTCTTTGCCTTTTGAAAGACTATTTTCAGAAGCTGGGCAAATCGCCATCGACATGAGAAACAGATTGACTGGTTCTCATCCTTCGGTGTTAATTTTTCTGTCATCCATAGATGAATCTCAATGGAAATGTTAGTGACTAAATAAACATTCTTATTTTAAAATTGTAATTATTTTATTTGTAATTAGTGATGTCGATTCTGGCATGATTCTCTAAAGCTAAACTTAAATTTGACAACGGTGTATCCTTGTCGTTCTCTATACAGAATGAAAAGGAGAGACTGATGTTAAATTTAGTTTTAAGTTTAGAGAATCACGCCAGAATCGACACCAATGGTATCAATTCTGACATGATTCTCTAAACCTAAACTTAAATTTGACAACAGTGTATCCTTGTTATTCTCTATACAGCATGAAAAGGAGAGACTGATGTTAAATTTAGATTTAAGTTTAGAGAATCACGCCAGAATTGGCACCAATGTCTATGTATTTTTTTTTTGTATTTCGGCGTAACATTTATTTTCTTACAGTCTGGAATTTTTCTTCGATTAATCGATTAATTGATATCATAAATGCAATTAATCGATTAATTGTAATCGACACCGATCGATGTCTGTCGATTATCGATTACTTTGCTCCGATTATCGTCCCTAGATGTTGTGCCGGCAATTCACTTAACTGTTCGTGGTTGCTATTTGTGAACTTAACATCAGTCTATCCCCTTCATTCCTTATAAAGCATGATAAGGACAGACTGTTGTCTCTTAACAAACTGCCAACACGAATAGCCAAGTTAAGTATTGTAATGTATTCTCTGTACTCTGTGAGTGATTTATGATTGTGTGTGTATGTAGGTTATATTCTCTTTTTGATTGTGTGATGTTGATGGATTCAACTAAAGACGAGGCTGTATGGGCTTTAGTTCCCCTTGCCTTCCCTAAAAAGGGAGAATATTAAAAAAAAATGTTGATGGATTCAATGAGGTCGGATTGGATGATTGGATGTTGGATTAGATAAATTTGCTAATAAAACGTGAGTTTATCTAGTTACAGCTTTATTTCTCTATTTAGTTTATTCTTAAATAAGGATACCTTTCTATTGTTTACAATATTTAAAATAGCATGGTTTAACAGTAAAGTTTTGGTCTACTTTAGAGAGTCATCACTCATAGGTTTTTGGTGGTTTATAAAAGCCGAAAATGGAGACAATTTTAGAACAGCAAAGAAGTTATCATGAAGAGAGAGAAAGAACTATGGATGCTATGGTCAAGGAAATATTGCATAAAAAAACTGGTGTAAGTGATCACATCTATATTCTATTACAATTGCATTTTGAATGGAACATATTGCTGCTTTTAAAGTTGTCCTTATCTACAAATACAGTGCCACTAAAGCAACCTATATTTCTGTTTTTAGCATCGAGAAACTATCAATGGAGATCATCGTTTAAAAAATTTACATGATGTAAGTTAAACATTGGGGTGGGTAAGCCCAACTAATTGCTTGAACAGTAACATATTTTTGCTATTTGTTTTATAGAGAAGACAACAACTAGAAACTAATAAAAACGACATAATGACAAGAAGTGTTGTTTTAAAACAAATATTTATGAATATTGTGTTTTTTTTTTACTTTAAATGGTTGATTATGTTCAAGTACATGATGATGACACAATGCCCTATAAACATTTGCAATAGCTTAATCCTATTCATATTCCCTGTGGAGCTCTAATAGCCTTGTTCACTAATTCTTATAGTTAAATGCAATTTACAGTCTAATAATCTGTTATTTTTAAAAAGACATTTTTAGTTAATTCATTTATGTAGATAACTATGTTAATTTTAATACAATTTTTAGAGATTCATTGAATCTACAATCAGACTTAAAGAATTGTATGAAGATAAAGATGGTTTGCGCAAAGAAGAGATTGCAGCATTGTCAGGACCAAATGAATTTCAAGAGTTTTATGCCAGACTAAAGCAGATAAAAGAATTTCACAGGAAACATCCCAATGAGGCAAGTTATATTGTTATTTTAAAGCTGCAAACTACATTCTCTGTTATTCAACATCCCTACAATGTTGAATTGAGAAAGGAGATAAATTAGACAATTAGCCCCAGAAGTTAAATTGATTATTATTGTTTTCTAATCTCAATAAATTAGATACTGTGCTATATTGATTAATATGGAGTAAAATTTTATGATTTTGTAATCACTGGTAATGTAAAAAATTAAAATAATCATATTTTTTTTAGATTTGTGTTCCAATGTCAGTAGAATTTGAAGAGTTGGCGAAAATAAGAGAAAATCCTGCTGAAGATTTTACCAGTAAGTATTCAATAACATACCATGGTAACTCTTATTGTTATGCAATATATAAATATTGAAATGAGTTTTTTGTTGATATTATTATAGCACCTGTTGAATTCACTGATGAAGAAGGATATGGAAAATATCTGGACTTACATGAATGTTATGAAAAGTATATTAACTTGAAAGGCATTGAGGTAAGTATCAGCATACTTTTTGATTCTTTTTTTGTATTACCTATAGTCAAATTCAATACTAAAAAGATTTCATTTTCAGAAAGTGGATTACATCACATATTTGAGTATTTTTGATCATCTCTTTGATATACCCCGTGAACGCAAGAACAGTGAATACAGGAAGTATATTCGAGCTTTACTGACATATTTAAAGGATTTTGTGAATAGGGTAAAACCTCTTTTAGATCAAGTACAAGAAATGGCACTAGCCCATCAAGAGTTCTTAAAACAATGGGAGGCTGGTAGTTTCCCTGGGTGGCCGGTATGTTATATTTAAAATTGATTTGGAAAATCAAAATATAATTACATAAGAACTATGGTATGCGAAGTTATTGACTAATTTGTTATTAAATTAGTTTGCAAGATCTTTTACCAAAAATTAAAAAAACATTTTCCCTTAATTTTCAGGTTTTTTTTCCAATTTATCATAAATTCCTAAAGCAGTATTGACTTCTTTGCAGAAAGAAACAGGCGGTGCTTTAACAAATGTGGGTGCTCATTTGGACCTTTCTGCATTTTCTTCCTGGGAAGAGTTGGCTTCACTTGGTTTAGATAGATTGAAGTCAGCATTGATGGCTCTTGGACTTAAATGTGGAGGAACCTTGGAAGAAAGGGCACAAAGGTAAGAACAGTTATTTAATTATAGATTTTACAACTTATTCAATAATACTTTTTACAGAACGACTTGAAATATGTACCTACTCACAAAAATATTAACCTTTTAGATTGTTCATTACTAAAGGACAAACTGCACTGGACAAGTCACTGGTTGCCAAAAAAGGAAATAAAGCAAAAGCTTCTACTCAACAAAGGCATAAAGATATAGCAGCAATTGAAGCTCAAGTCTATAGGTATTTTTTGAATTCTTTATTAATAAAATAAAATTATTGATCTCGTATTGTTTATATGCAACATATTGTAATGTTATGAATATTCTGATGTTGTAGTTCTTCATTATAATCATTACCCTTAATGGAACTCAACAATGAAGATCCAAAAAACACATATTATAAAGATATTTTCTTCCTTGGATATATACAAATACCATAGTCATAAAGAATGGACTTAGTGATGCTCATGAAAATGACAGCCCACTAGAAAGAGACAAAAAGCATCCAATAAATACATAGATAAACTATGGTTCGCCTTATTGCTTTGTTTCCATCTCACTTTATTTCCCGTTTGTTTAGGGAACTCACAGACCTTTCAAACCAATGAAGATATTTAGTATGGTAAAGATGTCATTGATAAAGGTTAAATAATTAAAACCTTTAGGCATAAAAAAATCCCCGAATGCGACTATAATAAAAAAAAACGAGCGAGCCTTACAGTAGTCGCGTATGATGCGTAACATTTGAAACCTCACCTTATATTAGTAAAAAAAGAAATAAAACCTACTACCAAAGGAATTAGCCATTTGAACATTATGTTATAAAATCAAATCAAACCTGTTAATTCCTGTTACACACTTCCGTTCCACTTCACGTAATCACTCCCACAAATTGCACGAAAGCGAGAGGAAAGATGCTACCCATAAAAAAGTGATTTAATAAAAACATTTTACTCAGATTTGCGGGCGTAGTTAGCAGTACCAGGGCTTCCACTATAGAGAACGTGACCCGTCGAGCGGCACGTGCCGCCGGCGAGCGACGCGACGATAGCGGCGACGAGAGCGACGCCTCCGCCGCGCCCGATGTGGACTCCGACGACGACGAGGTGCCATACAACCCCAAGAACTTGCCGCTCGGATGGGACGGGAAGGTATGTATCACAGCGACGCCGAGAGCGACGCCTCCGCCGCGCCCGACGTCGACTCCGACGACGACGAGGAGCCATACAACACCAAGAACTTGCCGCTCGGATGGGACGGGAAGGTATGTATCACAGCGACGACGAGAGCGACGCCTCCGCCGCGCCCGACATCGACTCCGACGACGACGAGGTGCTATACAACCCCAAGAACTTGCCGTTCGGACTATCGCTGCTGAAACACTGTTTTGTCAGCTAAATTTAAATTATGACTTACAACAAAACGGACTATTTAGTCCAGTGTCATTATCTCTTCATAGACAGCCTTTTGCTGTTTACATGGAAGCGTCGAAAAACAACTGCCATATTATATATTTTTAGCAGTTGGTATTGATTTTTCATACAAATATACTCAATTTGGTCGTGTGGTAAATAAGATTTCGAAATACATAATATGTTATGTGTTTATTGATAATCTTTTTTCTTTTCAGCCTATCCCATACTGGCTTTACAAGCTCCATGGTTTGAATATCAGTTACACTTGCGAAATCTGCGGCAACTACACCTATAAAGGTCCGAAAGCATTCCAACGTCATTTCGCGGAGTGGCGTCACGCTCACGGGATGCGTTGTTTGGGCATACCGAACACTGCCCATTTTGCCAATGTCACTCAAATCGAAGACGCTCTTGCATGTAAGTAAAAATTGTATTAAATTTTTAACTACACACTTACAAGTGGAATTTATGGAGCTCTTAGCATTATTATCGCTACTGTCTGAGTGAAGTCCTTGTTGTAAACTTTAAAGGATATTAGAAGTTCAGAGTTCAGATTTCTGAGTGAGTGAAAGTACTAATGACTGCTAATACAGCTTGGAGCAATTCAACATTGCTTTAAAATTTTGTTTCCTCCACCAAACAGTTTCTTAAGTTAGTGATTTCTCCACTAATCACTTACTTTCTAGTATCTCTGGCTTAGATTAAAACAAAAAGGGAAGATGTGGCACTCGCGGCTCAAAAGTGTACCACTCAAATTGTGGTGCATGAACACAATTTGCTTTAGTCACAATTTGACAACCAAACACGCTGCATGTGCACTCAATATAACAATATTGCGTATATTCTATATTATAAAGATAAAACAACGCCTTCGATGCTTTAAAAAAGAACACAAATAGTTCAAGATCAAATAACAAATTCCACGGGAACTCTTCTTTCTAAAAACTATAAAATACATTTTTTTTCAAAAATCACGTTTTGTAATGAATTTTATTCACTTCTTCACCATTTGTTATCAAAAAAAGGACAACAATAGAGCTCTACCGTTTATAGAGAGAGAAAATAAAATACAGTCGGTTGTCAAGCGACGCAGACTCGCTGTTTCACTCGCGTTGCTTTGAAGCGTACAGTACCTCTAGCACGAATCATTATCGAATTCGAATAGTTTGCGAGTGCGAAATGTCAATGTCAAATTTTAAATGGAAACTTGAACAGCAGCACTTTGTGGTACGTAACGAGAACTAAAAATCAGAATAACATTTCGCACTCGCTTACGTTACGAATTCGATATTGGTTCGTGCTTTCGCTCGCTTGAATATTTATTCATAGAAATGCGCGTGTGTCAGAGTTGCTTATGTATTTGAGTTGAGCCGGCGTATATTTTATTTGATGCTAGTATGAGCGTACCGTATCTTCCCTTTTTGTTTTAATCTAAGATCTCCGGTTTTCTGTCCATCTCCCTGTCTTCCAGTTTGTAGCCTAAAAGTACATTCATTGTAGTAACCCCTAATCCAAATAAGCCAAATTTGATCGCATGATTTTTGGCGCAGACAGGAACGCTGTTTTTGCTCCTGCCCGTTCTTAGAGTTGCTGTATTTAAGGATGATTAACAACCCGCGCCATATTCGGGTTTCATATGAAATACTACTGTAACTACTAGTAAACTTATTTAGGTTCCTGGCACGTGTAGTATTTAGAGTTCAATTTGTGATGCCAGCACTTTACATGGCTATTCGTATTTGCTATTTGTTAACTTGACACCAGTGTCTTCTTTTCACTCCTTACTATAAAGTATGATAAATAATGTCCTTATCATGTTAAAATTTCCTTGTCAAAATGACACAGCAAACTTCAGTAAATGTAACTCTATTTTGTGATGTTAGTAGCGTAATTACACATCACAAAAAGGACACGCTATATGAACGGGGCTTGGATACGACATGGTCCAGTGCAATTCATGGTAAACGTTTTTTTCACTTATATTTAATATTTTAGTGTGGGAAAAAATCAAACACCAGAAAGAGAATGAAAGGTTTGTGGCCGAAAATGATGAAGAATTTGAAGATTCGCAAGGAAATGTTGTTAATCGTAAGACCTATGAAGATTTGAAACGTCAAGGACTTCTGTAAATTGTAAAGTTATTTTTTCTGTAGTGAAAATAAACAGTATAAGCTATATGAAATGTGTTTTTTTTAAATCCTTTTGTTAAAATATTGAAGTGCGTATGCTCGCTTTTTTATGTTAAAAGACTGCCAAATAAGCATATGATGGTAAGTTGCGGCCAAAGGGTGCGGCCAGAGTGCACTCAGATTCAGATTCAGATTCTGAAAACAAGCGCGAGAAATAAACAGTGTAGTCTAAGCAGGTTGCCTGCTTTTTCTCGCGCTTTGTTTTCTGAGTCTGAATCAGGAGTGCACTCTGGCCGTACCCTTCGACTACACTGTTTATTTCTCGCGCTTGTTTTCGAAATCTGAATCTGAGTACACTCTGGCCGCACCCATAGGCTAAACAAAGCGCGAGAAAAAGCAGGCAACCTGCTTAGACTACACTGTTTATTTCTCGCGCTTGTTTTCAGAATCTGAATCTGAATCTGAGTGCACTCTGGCCGCACCCTATAGATATAGTCAGAGAGCCGGCTGTATAAAAGTCCTATGGATCAGAGTGGGATCAGATCACGGAGCACCCCCACTAGAGTCCGCATACAAGGGCAAGCGCTTACGCCAAGCTTAAGTAGTATTTTACCTATGCGTGAGGCACGCCTACAGACGTCGCGATACATCGTTTCATTCGGTAACCGAGCGTTGGTCGAACTGCTTCTCTCGTTTTCGTGTTAAAAAACTGTAAAAAATGCCGTACTGTGCAATTAAATTGTGTGGAAAGTCGAGTACAACTTCCAGTCTTAAAAAAATGGTATTACTTTTCACTGGTTAGTTTAAATGCATTACAAAAAGACAAAAATACTGTTATATTAAATTGGTCTTAATTCTATTTATTTTTTGGTGAACGCGTTGATGTCTTTTTACACTATCTTTTTCTCGCATGGGCTACATCATATATGCTATCTCGCTCTCACACCGGCACGTGTATTGCTAATGACTCAGACGCAGCTCATGTCTCAACGCGTAAGTTTATCGATAAGTTTGTCAGCTATGGAAATCGAAAAAATAAATAAAAACTATTTATTTCATCGTATACAATAATAGATGTCATGAGTATACAACCAACAGTTTTTATTTGACTTCAAACATATCCTAATAAAATTGAAAAAACGCGAAAATTTGTATGCATATTTGTTACTCTTTCACGCTAAAACGGTTAAATGGATTTGTATGAAATTAAGTGCGCATAGTTTATGACCTAGATAAAGACATAGAATTAACGATATTAAATACCCTAGAAACACCACGAGCGCTCAAAATGTATCCCCATCAAGCAGTACTTGAACTCCACTCAATCGCGGACCGTTGAAAAGTCAAGATGCCAAAGAGTTCCGTGAAAAAATCACAGACATATAACTAGTAGCAGACGGAACATTCAGTTTTAAACAGCGTGGCAAATACACACACATTGAAACTCACCAAAGCATGGGCCGCATTTAGTATAGTAGAATAATGGATTTCATTATTGTTTCATTAAATACCTATCCGAATAGATAGATCCTAATGTGACGTCCATGCTAATAATATTATAAACGTAAATTGCGAATTTAGCCAGGCGAAATCGCTGAACCGATAATGATGAAATTGAGCACGGAGATAGAAAGGACATAGGTACAATTAGGAAAATTGAAATAAAAATTTAAGGCATAGTTTTTATTTATTTATTTTGAAATAATACAAGATTTTTAAAAAAATTCTCTGAGATACATTTGTTTCTTTACATTGATGTTTACATCTAAGATCAAAATAAAATTTGACAACAACTTTAATAAGCAAGTGGACATGGTTTATGTCATGATCTGATTGTTCGAGTCAAATATTGAATAATCGACATAATCACATATGAATTTAATCAAACTATTAAAAATCATTACTTTAGTTTATTTTAAAACAAAAAACACTTAAAATACTAAGTTGGTTGCCAATCCTGACGTTTCATATATTTTAACCATGCATTCCAAGTACTTTCATCCTTTGAAAACCTAGAACAAAATTGTTTATGTGGTTATTTGGGTTATATACCTACCGATGCCAATGTTCCAAGAAATATGAATAGCTAGTCTATAATAGGTACCTATCTATTTACGTTCTCGATTGCATTCACATTCAAAATACAATGCAATGAAAACAAAATTAATGCCGAGAAACTTTTTGTCTTTCATACCGAGTCCATCCTCTGTTATGGCAACAGTACTTCAGTTGTCAGAATTGGAATTTCCTATCATGATTTATCCTGATTACTTCTATTTCTTTACTTTTAGGATATTAGTTTTCACCGGTAGTATCTTAGATAATTAATCCTACGTAAAAAATGTTACATGTTACGATAATATTTAAATAAACTTCGAAAAGACTCAAAGACTTTTCAGTACACAACAAAGACACATAAAAACTTACTGATGAAAGGTAATCCTGGTGTTCTATTGTAGGTAGCACTTTCACATCGATACGCACTGTACTTCACCATAGTAATTGAATAATCTCGTTTTGTAATATAGTTTCATCAAAGCTATATTCTTAATAAACACCGAAAAGTCGCATGTCCGATAAGTCATGTATAAAATGGCGGCGAGGAATAACAATGACACGCGTTGACATTTGTTGATGTGTGAGTCAGTATTGCAATAGATGGAAGAATGAGATGCCACTATCGAGTTGTAGCTGAGTACAAAAAGGATAAAAGATCATGCTTTGATTCATAAATATAACTAGGTTTTATGTTCCGTCTGCTATAGTATTATATGTCTGTGGAAAAAATACAGAAAAATACTAATAGTACGTAAAGTGTCGTTTTTGCGACAGGTAGCTAATTAATGTTTTTTAATTAACGCCTTTAAAGCAAATTTTATTGTTGTAATACTTACTATAAACTGATTTAATATAAAATATTTGTGATATTCAAATGCATGGTCGGTTATACGTCGCCCTTAGCCATCTCTTTTCTTCGCGATCTGTACCTGCTATATTGCTAACAGCGCATTCAGAATTGCGCGCGCTAAGTCAAAAAAAATAAGGTCTATATTCTTTCACACATAACAATAAATCGTAAAATTTTACGAACTTGACGCATGCATTTTATTAAGACCTTATGCCGTATGCATTAAAGGTGACTTTCAATGTTTAAATAAGGCATTACATTGTTTTTGACCACGCGATCATCTTACGGACCTCCGTGGATCGTCCAATGCACCTTTTGGACAGGTTTCGGCCATGATTTTGTTCGTGTTGTTGTATTTAGGGTAGTTATTGGTGTCGATTCTAGCATGATTCTCTAAACCTAAACTTAAATTTGATAGTAGTATATCCTTGTCATTCTCTATACAGAATGAAAAGGAGAGACTGATGTTAAATTTAGTTTTAAGTTTAGAGAATCACGCCAGAATTGGCACCAATATCGTTGCATTAATACTTCTTGTCCTGGGCGTGTTTTTTTTTGTGTTGCTTATATATAATTTAGTATGTAGTTACTCGCGTCATGTAATTAGAACGCTGGAAGAAAGTGGAGAGGGTATGATTACGCATTTGCTTACACTCGCGCACCAAAGTACTAGGCCTCTATTCTAAATTGTTTATCGATAGAAAATATCGATATTTTCTTAAATCGATCTTACCCTCATCACTTCGCTGGACTGAGTATATGATCTGACCTTGACGCGTCCAATCACAGCGGGGCTGACCTCCCTGCACCCCACCGACTTTGGCGATTTTGATTCCAAACAAAATTTGTGTGATGCGGACTCTAGTGGGGGTGCTCCATGGATCAGATACATAAATAATTTTCTAGGCATGATCATGAACAATAAAGCCATAGTTCTAGAAGTCGACCCCTGAAGTTGCTTGATTTTGCCCGCATGCAAACGACGTCACTACCGGTTTTTATTTTAGATGTAATTGTAATTTATCAAAAACATCCAAGAAAATGAGGAAAATGTATGTCAAACGAAAGTTTTTGATGAGTAATATAGAAATGTCAAGGTTCGACAAGCTCTATTTATTCGCTGCCCTAAGTCAACCACCATTAAAAATACATTTGATTAAATTTAGCTTAAGTCATCGAATAAATGAATTGGTTTAAGATTTTCTGAAACTAGAACCTCTCAAATTAATGAAAAGAAATGGTCGACACCTTTTATTTCAACGGATCTGACTGTCGACTTCGTCTGAAGAATCAAAAAGTCTATGCTTATATATTTCTTCACGATTAAAAAACTGATCGATTATGATGCTTTTTGGTAGAGTTTGTGCCCCAAAGGAAAGGACAAAGGATAGTTTTATCCCAGAAATCTTCCTTTAAGGGGTTGGAAGTATGTATAAGAAACCAATTCAATCATGCAGATGCATTCGCGGGCACTAACTAGTATGGCATACATAGGTTCATTTCTTTCCGAAATACGAAATGAAAGATTATGGAAAAAGTAAAAGTTATTCTACCGCTAATTGATATAAGGGTCCATGATCATAGTAACCATAGCGTTATTTTAGGAAAATTATAACAACATGTGGTTGCCATGGTGTTTGTTTTGTTGGTTAGTGCATAGTGTTGCAAGACTATCATTAGTCTGTCTATCGATAGTTGACAGTGGCAAATAAGAGTATCACGATATTGATTAATTATGTCATGATCAAATAGTAGACATGGGCGTTTTTGGTTTTGTACGCAAACGGATATTTATCGGATTTCAGATTTCAAAATCGATTTTAAAATCCGTTTTTAGATATCCGATTTCAGATATGCCGAACTTAGCCAATTCACTAGTTTGTGTTATGATTTGGTTTTATTAGCTAACGACAATCACAAACAATTAATTGTACAAAGCAAGGATACTCGTAGATTTGCGCGATTTTCCTTTATGCTTTAAATCTAGGCTTAGGCAAGAGTATATATTCTGTGGCTTAGGACTAGCAGAAAAGTTATCTTTACGGTTAAGAGTAAAACTTTAGTGGCGCATTTAAAAATCGGCTTATATACAATGAATTCTTTTTACATATTTTTTTTTGTTTTTCTGTTTGTTTTTATTATTTTTCAAACCATTTACAAAATCAAACCTAATTACTTCAGGTAAGCGTTCAAAAAATATCAGTTGCTCGACTTTTGATGTTTTTAGACGACATCTTTTTCAGTAATAAATAATCCCGCCTTAGAGAAGAACAATATATTTCCGTAAACAGCAAACCGAAATCGGACTTCCGAGCACGAAAGCACGAATTTCGAATCCGATTTACATTTGGATACTTGTGGTGGTATTAGATCCTTAGCGTTTTGGTTCGGTTAGATTTCTGAAATCGGATTTTCTTGTTGAGAAATCGTTCGGTATCGATTTGTGTTTGAAATCGGTTTTTACATTCGTTTTGATATATCGGACGCATGCCTATCAAATAGGCAATGCGTCTTTGATATTTATTTGAAAAATGTCAATAGGTAGTTTGCGAAATATATTTTTCTCAAATGAAGTCACACAGTAGGTGAACCAATCCCAGCCAGACTATTCAGCATTGCTTTGATGTTTTTTGGATTCGATACTATGTCAAGACTTACCGATTTTGTGAACATTTTTCATGGCTACATTGTCACAACCACAATATAAAATATTATCGATAGTACTACCGATAGTGTATACTAAACTAATACCTCCTGCAACACTACTAATGTCAATGACTTGTCAATGTCATGTTCATGTGATGCGGTGTGCTGTTTATTGCTTGATTTGATTGTGATTAAATTAATATTTATGTGCGTATGATGAATTTAACATTACATTTACTCTTTCAAAGAAAACAGTAAGATATTTGGGCACACTTGTACATAATGGCAGAGAAATCAAGCAGTCGAATATTCACTGGGAGTAGAGTTTTAGGTTATGTGAGTACACATGTGCCTTTTGTACCTCGATTTATCAAAAGACGCGGAGAAACTCTTCTTTGCACTAGCGTAGGCAAATGGTTCCATACGTATGGTTGCAATAATTTTCGACTTTTGAGCATCAGTGGTGAACATCCTGGTCCAATAACATGCATGAGTGGCGATAACTTTCATGTTTATACGGCTAGTGAAAACGATATTTTTGCTTGGCGACGTGGTTGTGAGCTGAAACATGTCTATAAAGGTCATAACGCACCAGTGCATATATTGATGCCATTTGGAGCGCACTTGATTTCAATAGACAAGGAAAATGTTCTTAAAATATTTGACATAAAGGATGAAACTGAATTTTTAGAGTTGTTATTTGATGCTAAACAATTTCAAATAACAACTTTGTGCCATCCGCCTACATATTTAAATAAGATTCTCTTGGGAAGTGAGCAAGGCCAGTTGCAGTTGTGGAATATTCGTACTTCTAAACTAGTGTACACATTCCAAGGATGGAAGTCACGCATAAATGCTGTGGAGTCTGCTCCTGCTATAGATGTCGTGGCGATTGCTTTGGCTAATGGGAAAGTCAAATTACACAACTTACGTTATGACAAGACTATTGTAGAATTTGTTCATGATTGGGGGCAAGTGAGTAGTTTGTCATTTAGGTTAGATGGGGCACCTGTTATGGTAACAGGGAGTACTGAAGGCCACATAGTGATGTGGGATCTAGAAGAGAAAAGAGTGATGTCACAAGTACAGTCAGCCCATTCTGCTTCTATAGCTGGGTTGCAGTGTTTGATGTCTGAACCCTTAATGGTTACAAATTCTAAAGATAATTCTTTAAAGTTGTGGATATTTGACATGCCTGATGGAGGAGCCAGGCTTCTCAGAAGAAGGTATGATAAGAATACTTAATTTTTTTAACCATATTATCAATATAATATTTTTATATAAAAATACAGTATTGCAGATCTTACTTTTTGATACCAAATTAAAATTACTTTATGTATTAAATTATTTTTTAGGGAAGGGCATGCTTTGCCTCCGAACCTAGTTATGCATTGTGAACCCACTGGGCGTAATTTGTTGACAGCTGGCCAAGACCGAAGTCTTCACATAATGAATACTGTCACTGAAACATTTAACAAAAGCATGGGAAAAGCTTCTTACAATAGGAAACAAGCAAAGAAAAAAAGTAAGTAATATATTTAACTGAAATGCAAATTATTAGTTTAGTTCTATTTAACTGTTTGTGTTTATGGTTCCAACAAGCAGATTAACTCATAAGTCTAAAAAGACAAATGTGGCCTAAAAAATTTCTCTGATCTGTCCCACCAGGACATGCTGTATATCCCAAAATTAGTAGATAATCTTTTGTCTAGTTATTTTATTTCTGTGAATTTGTTAATGTATATATTTGTTTTAATTATTTCAGAAAGGTTTCAAAAGGATAAACATGCCATGCCACCTATAACAAAACTTAGTTCTTGTATGCAAAGAGATAAACAATGGGACAGTATTGCCTCAATTCACAGAGGAAAATACTTGGTGACCACTTGGTCCTATAATAAGATTCGAATGGGTGAACATAAATTGCAACCACCAAAAATTGGAAAAGGCATTGAAGCAACATGTCTGACAGTTACACATTGTGGAAATTTTGTTCTTATTGGTGAGTAAGTTTTATTTATATATATTTTTTACCAAGATCTTTTTCTCAGAAAATGATGAGATATCAAGTACAAATTAACATTAAATGGGTAACTCCATCAGTTCTTATATCCCATGGAGCTTCAAAAATAAAAATAAAAACTGCTGCTTGTTTTTAACACTTGCAAGGGTACTTACTCCCCACCAACTTAAAATCATGAAATACAGCAACAAATTAATATTAAGTTGGGTTATTAACAATATATTTTAGGATACAGCGATGGGCAGGTGCACAAATTTAATATGCAATCTGGAATACATAGAGGATGTTATGGTAAAGATCAAACATTTGCACACAAAGGAGCTGTTAGAGGTGTAGAAACCGATATTTGTAATCAGAGAGTAGTAACTGCAGGTGCTGATGACAAATTAAAGTTTTGGCGCTTTAAGACAGGTAAGGGAACAACAAGAATATTTTTGTCAAAAAAACCAAGGCGTTGTTTCATTGATAGTAAAATTTGACAATAGATAGATAAATAAATTTGTCACATTCACTATGTATTACAAATATATAGTAAATGTGACAAATTTGGACAAATGTTTTTTTTTTATATGGTGTTTAACTATAGGGTCAGTCTGCGGTAATCGATACCAGATAACCAAATAAATTATTTACTCAAACAATCACTAATACATAAAATATCTGGGCTATTAATCATCAATTTTCATAAACCGAAAGAAAAATCCGATTTATTTACCAAATTTTCATGATATTTTCGTTCAAACATAGACAACTTAAAGCTGGAACTGGTAGTAAAAAATAATACGAAAATGGCGACACTTTTTTATATGTCACTTAAACTGACAGCCCGCCGTTTTCTGTTGTCACTGATTGCAAGAGAAGTTATTTGTTTGCTGCGAAAAATTGGATTCTTCAGGTAATTACCAATAATTTTACTTTACAATTAATGTTGAGCAAGTATTTGTGTCACACCCGACACAAAATACATAGAAAAGTTATGATTGCATGAGCTATACCAGCTAAAATGTTGTACCGTTTTGTGAAAGTAAGGTTATTTGAGGGGGCAAAGGGTGGAAATAGTTTTGATGTTTACAAAATGGCTTCACTTTGATATATAAGCTTTTATTTATTAGTCACGCCCGTCACACGTCACAACCGTCACAAACTTGGGCAAAATGTCTCAAAGACAAAGATGAGGAAGAATGAAAATTTTAAACAGAGAGACACAGCCAATAAAACGTGCCATTACAATATAGAGAATGAACAAGAGGATGAGGAGGAAAAGACAAATCAGGAAGACATAAATAGGGACGACACTGACCCAGGAGAAGGAAGCAGTGTTGCACTTAAAGCCCAGTACAACAGTGGTGACTTTGTCTTGGTAAAAATTCCTGGATTTTTTTTTAATACAGTTATGTGGGTATTGTGGACAATATAGATGACGAAGAAGGTGAAATTAGAATCACTTACTTAAGATTACATGACGATCATGGCAAACTATTTAAAGTAGCTGAAAATGACATATCAGATGTCACATTTGACCAAATTAAAAATAAGTTACCCACACCCACATTAGTAACTAAAGGTGATTACTTCAAATTTAATGAGTCTGTTGATGTTTTTGAACAATAGTTGTTATAAGTGGTTTATGTTACCAACAAACAATAAAAGAAGTTGATTTATTTAAATTTTGTCCTTTTTATTCAACTTGTCACACCCGTCACAGTCTCATGTCACGCCCGTCACAATGTTGGTAGAGTAACAACTAAATAAATTAATTAAGTATTTACCAGATTCAAGTGTAATACAAAAGCGAATTTATTGAGCATCTTAAAAATTTTATTGATTTTTTAATAAGCTCAAAAATTTTGCTAAACCATCGACATTTCTAACAGAGCTGTCAAGTCACGCAATAGTTGGGGTCACCCCCGACACAGGTCTTTAAATAACTATATCTATATTTCTAATAGCCCTAAAAAATTTTTTCTGGCAATATATTTAAATTACATTAAGTCTACGGGTTAATGGTATAACTCTAGGTAAAAAGTAGTTTTATTCAAAAGTTATTTCTTAAAACAAAAGTTGAAATGTCACACCCGTCACCGCGGACTGACCCTATAGTAAAATTTTACCATCAGTGAAACAATGCGGCCTATATGTTTTCCTTTATTTTGCTCATATCTTTTTACTTGCAAGAGGTAAGTAAAGATAGAAAATAACTGCCATACAACTAAAATTAGTATCTTAAAAGACCTTTCATTTGCATTAGGGTCCAACATGTTACATCACTTGGGATAATAACAGGCATCCTCCTTTACTAACTTTTGTTTTAGATATAACTCCTTATCATGTATTAAGATTAGAAGAATCTGTTACAATGACAAAATTGAACAGAGACAGTGGATTGTTGGCCCTTGCTAATGAAGATTTCACTATTACTCTTGTTGATATTGACACTATGACTGTAGTTAGAAACTTTGAGGGACATCTTGGTAAAATCAACAGCATTGACTTTGACTCCCAGAGCAGGTATGACTTTTTATTTATTTATTTATTAAGTAAGTAAGTATAAGTTAATTAAGAGCTTTGATTATATACACGCCCATGTACGATACTGTCTAATTCCACGGAAGCAGCCCAAATATCTACTAAATATGGTAGATATGCTTGTCGCTACAGACGAACACATTGACTACTTTCAAACATTCCGAGATTAAGGCGGCGGTTCGCGCTGCGACCGCGACCAGAAACCGAGACGAGAGACAGAGATAGGAGACCCCCACCGGCACTTGTATTTTTAGATTTGTACGGGCGACAGTTCGCGCGTGCGACAGAGACGCGAGACCGTCGCCGTCCCGGACCAGTAGTGTCTCTTGTCGCGCCTGAAATGCTCGTGTTTATTTTATTAAAAATGACTGGTTTTTCTTCACTAATGGCGAAAATGAACCTTGTTGGCCTCTAGTTAAATATATAATTTGTTAATACATAATCTATTTTTAGTTTTGTAGTAATAATATAACAGCAAATCATCGTCTTCTTCATCCTCCAATAATAACTCTACGTGGCGTTCCATAACAGTATTTAATGATACACTAAAACACAATTCACTCCATCAAGAGACTACGATACTGAGGTGTTTGCGGTCTCGCGGTCTCGTCTGTATTTTCGGTCTCGCTCCGCTGTACATACAGAAGAGACCGAGACTCTTGGTTTGTCATCTCATCTCGGTTTCCTGTCGCGGTCGCGGCGCGAACCGCCACCTTTAGAGTCATGCACACATAGCACGTAACATGAGCCGATTTCTTTGCGTGGTCTTTTTGGATTGCTCTATCTAGGCGTGTATAGAATCGAAGAATAAAAATAAAGTATAAAAATCTGTTTTCTGGATTCTAATCGAGATATTATTATGATAAGTTTTCCAAAAACATCTTTTAATTTGTATCCAACGATATTAAACACCATTGATACAACAACACGAACAAAATCGTGGGCGAAACCTGTCCAAAAGGTACATTGGACGATCCACGGAGCTCCGTAAGATGATCGCGTAGTCAAAAGCAATATAAGGCATTATTTAAACACTGAAAGTCATCTTTAATGCCTACTGTATAAGGTCTTAATTAAAACACTAAAGAGTTATGACAGGACGAAATGTAAGCTCGTAAAATTTACGACTTATTGCTATACGTGGATGAATATAGAGCTTATTTCTTTTACTCTATGCGCAATTCTGAATGCGCTGTTAGCAATATAGTAGCATTTGAATATAACTAATATTTTCTATTAAATCAGTAGAAAATAGTGCGTTATATTTACAAACATTGATAAGATACCTGTCAAAAACGACACCTTACGTACTATACGTATTCTTTTCGCATTTTTCCACAGAGCTCTGTGGCATTTTGACTTTTCAATGGTCCGCGCGTGATTGAATCAAAAAGTGCTTGAGTGGTGTTCAAGCAATTCTTGATTGGGACACATTTTGAACGCACATAGTGTATCTAGGGTATTTAATATCGTTGTTTGTATCATTCATTATTTAAGGAACCTTTAAACTAGAGCCTTTAAGAGAGCCTTATTTTATATTATATTTTATTTGTCTCATATTTTATTTGGGCTTCTTTCATATAATATGTCTTGGTGTACTGTTGCTGTATTAACGTGTTTAACTATTATATTATGCAACTATTACATATATCTACATAGGATTATTTTATAAATAATAATTGGTAATGAGTTGTGCAATTTGCAAAAAAGACTGTCAGAAAATTAAACCTTGTGTGCCGCTACAGCACAGGTTCAAGCAAACTAGTGTAAAATCGATTCTCAGTTAACACTCATACAATGCCATAACGCTCGTTTCCCACTCGCTTCTGTCTTTGTTTAATAGTACACTCATTATTATGTATACTTACTTGAAAATATTAATAGACAACCAATTGTACCACATTAATTTCCACCGCACATTAAAATGAAATTATATTTTAACCTCATTTTATCATCTCATTTGTTGACTAGTGATGTAAAGATGGATAGATGTTATAAACTGGATTTAGCTTTAATTTTATTAAGAATGATTATGTCAGTAGCCCCTAATTTGTACATTGGTAATTTCAAATTCAAAGAACAGAAGTGTTGGCATTTTTTCTGGTTTATTTTCATTATTTACCTAATGTGTATGAATTTCATTAAATGTATTGAGTAGCAGTTCTTTCTTATACTACTGTTATACCAATGATTATTAGCCTTGTCTGTTTTAATTTTTATTATTAGGTATATATATAGTGCCTCACTCAATTATAATTTATCCACATTCTCTCGTAGTGTTGTTAAGCAAAGTGTAACGAAACACCTTATTAACTCACACCGAGTGCAATCGTGCGCGCCCTTCGGCCTACGTGTACGAAATAAGACCGAGACGAGACTAGTCCTAAGTCAATAATGCCGAGTTTAGGTAAGAATAGTAGGTGCGTTCAGACTACTCTATACTATAAAGCTTATGGAAATACGCGCTATACTATACAGTGCAACTGAACGCACTTGAGATTCAGGCAAAGTAGTCTTAGGCCCGTATTACAGAATGACAACTAAGTGTTGATCTTTACTTGAGTACAGTTAGAAAGGGATGTCGTCAACACTTAGTTGTCATTCTGTAATACGGGCCTAGTTTTCAGATAGCCAAAGTTTGCTGTAACCCCATTTAAAACAGAAGTTGCGGGATCTTCGGCATAGCGCGATTTAGTTCAATGAGTTTATTGAACGCGAAAATTTTGTTTTTCGAAGAATGTAAGATTTTAGATTTTTAATATTATACATTTTTATTCGAAAAATATTTTGAAACTTTTAATTTCAAAATTGAAGCTAGGAAATGCTAAGGTCGCTACTCCGATTAATGCAGCCCCCTTTCTCGTTTGACGTAGTTTTCCGTCTGTATCTTTTGTAAGCGTTTGAGTGATAAAAAGAGCGCTCTACAAACTCTTTTCCTAGAACAGAGTATAGACAGAGGGCAGCTATCGTCTTCTGATTAGCATACATTTTCTTAGCCTCATGACATCATAGATACTTTGATAATATACACGCCTACATAGAGCAATCCAAATAAACCACGAAAAGAAAACAGTTCATTTTACGCGCAATATGTGCGTGATTCTAATGTCAGATTTTTTGAAAGCAACGTGTTTCTCAATAGATAAATGATGAGTAGGTAGCTGATCACTAAATATGTGTTACCATATTTAGCGATCCATTACATACTCTTATTTTCATTGATCATAGAAAAAAATATCGATTCATTGATGCCACTATCTAACATCATTTGCAAGAGCACAAATTCAAATTTAAGGTTGGAAGTATCTATCAATTTCGCACATTGAAATAATGTTTTATTTTTTTTAGGTGGCTTATTAGCACATCTATGGATTGCACTGTTTGTACTTGGGATATACCAAGTGCTCAATTAGTAGATATTTTTTCTGTAAGTATTATTTTTATTACTTTGCAAAGATAATTATATAATAATAAATCTTTTTTGTGTAAAGAACAAGGTAACATAAAAATACAGGTCTTAATGCTAATGTACAGTACCACTTGATCCTACCTTTTCAGGTGTATACACATTTGTACTATATGTATAGGAATCATTTGAATTTATTTACAAGTTAAATTCCTACCTATATTCTAAGTACTCTTGGATACCGTAAAAACTTTTTTTATTTAAAAAGTTTTATTTCTTTGAACTTGTCTGGTAATTTATTGTAAATTTTATTAACAATGTCATAAAATTTAATGTCATAAAATAAAGTTTCTTAATCCTTAGGTGGAAAAACCGTGCACGTCGCTTAGTATGTCGCCTACTGGAGACTATTTGGCGACGACTCACATTAGCGAACTGGGTGTTTTCCTGTGGGCTAACAGATTATTATATGATCGAGTGTTCCTTAAACCTATTGATAGAAAAACAATTGAAGTACCTCAATTAAGTAAGTATATAGTTGTCACTCGTAGTTTTTGATTTTTAGGGTTCCGTACCCAAAGCGTAAAAACGGGACCCTAATACTAAGACACCGCTGTCCGTCTGTCTGTCAGTCACCAGGCTGTATCTCATGAACTGTGATAGCTAGACAGTTGAAATTTTCACAAATATTGTATTTCTGTTGCCGCTATAACAAAAAAATGTTTTAGAGGGACAAATGGCAAAAAACACGTTTGTTGTAATCCCATACAACAAACGTGTTTTGCCATTTTTTGCTCTATATTTACAACGGCAACAGGTAGACGCTTGAACTATGTGAAAGAAATAAATAAAACTATTTACAGAATATTTATTTGTATATTCACCTTAAAAATAAATAAATAAATCAAAATAAAATAAATATTTAAAGGACATCACACATACATAAGACGTGATGTTTTTGCCGTTTTGCGCTCAATGTTATAATATAGTGTCTAATTTTTCTATAGAAATGCTATAGAACCCTTCGTGCGCGAGACAAACTCGCACTTGAGTGTTATTATTTTTTATTGTTATAGGATTTATTTTTATAGGATTTTGTATAACTAGTGACTCTTTGATCTTTACCTTTTTCTGATTTTTCCTACTCGAATCGTTTTTACCTACTATTTTTTATATTATTATCAACGTTATTAAAAACCTATTTTTATTATCGTTGGTTATTATTTAATCATATAGATTCTTAGTTCGTATTTTATTAAAGCATTTTATAATTAATTCATAATTGTTACAGAATTGCCAAGTAGCGTTACCGAAAAACCAGACTTAGAAGACATAGGCACCATCGACCTCGGAGAAGAACCCGAATATAAGTCCCCTGAGCAAATTAGTAGTGAATTAATTACGTTATCAAACCAACCAACCTCGAGATGGCTTAACTTATTACATTTAGATGTCGTCAAACGGAGAAATAAACCGAAAACACAACTAACCGTTCCGAAATCAGCACCGTTCTTTTTACCCACAATACCGAGTCTCGAATTAGAATTTGATTTAGAGAAAGACAAAGATAACAGAGAAACTAAACTGTTAATACCCGATTCACTATCAACTTTATCAGTGTTTGCAAAGAAATTAGTGAATTGTGAAGATCAAGAAGATTACAATGGATGTATAGAAAAGTTAACATCACTAGCACCAGCAGCTATAGAAGCTGAAGTATCTAGTATGGCACCTGACGTTGGTGGGTCCATAGATCTTATGAGGCGTTTCTTAGAGATGTTAGTCGTCATGCTTGAAAGTAATAAAGATTTTGAATTGGCGCAATCGTATCTGAGTTTATTTTTGAAATCTCATGCTAAAGTTATTTCTGCCAGTGGTGAATTGAGAAATACGCTACAGTCAATAGAAGAAACAGCAGCAAGAGCGTGGTCGAGATTGCAGAGCCATTTGTTGTACAATATTTGTGTTGTAAAGGCTTTAAAAGATATGTAAAATAAAAAAAATAATAACCATCTCCGTTTATTTTTTATTCTATTTAAATTATCTTAATACCTACTTATTTACAACTAGCGGCCGCCCGTGACTTCGTACGCGTGGTGTAGTTAGAAATAAAGGTTCACTGCTCGTTTCCCGTAGGTAATAGCGTGATAATATGTAGCCTATATGTTGACCCGACTTTTTAATAATATTCGTGCCAAATTTGAAGTAAACCCGTGCAGTACTTTTTGAGTTTATCCCGGACATACATACAGACAAACAGACAAAAATTCTAAAAACTATATTTTTGACTTCGGTATCGATTGTTGATCACACCCCAAGTATTCTTTTAAAGAAATATTCAATGTACTGTTTGGACTTTCCTACCATTTTATTATATGTATAGATTAACACAGTTTATACAGGTGCCAAAGTCTGTAGAGACTTGCGATTCACGAATATAACTGGCGTGTTGTCTACCCTAACTGCATCGCCCTCCTGTAGCCCTGGAAACCGTCCTTATAAACAGAATCACAACACCACCAAAGGGAAGGAAGTGTTATTTCATTGTTAGCTTTCCGTAAGGTAGAGGGTTCTTCAATTGCAAATACTTGTATGATCGAACCAATTAATTCCTGACCCATTTGGCAGATATGTAACTTAGGTCCTTCTAATGACAAGAAAACTATGTTAATATTGATAAAATTTATTTAATATTTGACCATTATTTAAACTAATAGGGAAATCATAAGTCAATGGGCCAAACTCCAAATAATTTAACGTCAAAATTATGCCACAGGTTGGCGGCAAAATCTCTTGTCATATATGAATATTCAGAAAATAACAAGTTTGTTTCCAGGAATACGCAAAGCAAAATCATTTAAGCAAATATCTACCATATAGTTTTGGTTGTAGCAAAATAAGCTTATAGTGGGTCAGGAATCAAATTGACTGGTTGTACTTCTCTTGTACTTCAAATGCTTTTGCAAAAATAATTGAGTGCTTTAATTTTTTCAACAGGTAGGTACAGTCAGGTTCCTTAATTGGATCCACCTTCGGTTGAATATGCAACAGTAAACATACACTATAAGAGCATATCTTTTGACCGAATACGTTGCTTTATCAACGTATTAAGCTGCTCCCAACCTTACGGACCCGTGAAACGTACGGAAAAATATACAACCAATCAACTTGGGTACTATTTAACTGTCCTACTATTCTTTCTGATGATGTTATATTGTATCATTTATAAAAAATATTTATATAATAAAGGAATAAAGCTAAAATTAATTCGTAAAAAAATTGATAAGGATTTCATAAAGATATTGAATTTGATGACATTTTCTTAGAAAAAAATTGAAACGAAAACATACGCTTAAGTATAACTACTTTAAAAGCGTTAATATTCATAAATGACAATAAATTCGAAAAGATTTTAACTTGACATTTCAACACCATATACTTATTCGTCTGGATATTTCGTACTTATTGCAAAGCGAATGTGCAAGCCGCATTTCCCAAATGAAATCATGTGACTGTACCTTACCTGACTAAAAAGTAAAAGTATGTCGGTTGTAGATTTTAAAGAGATATAATTTCTTACCTAAAGTACCTACTATAATATCCCCTTTTTCGAATACCTACCTCAATTATTTAAGCTAATTCTTTCCCAAATGTGCCGTTTGCAATAAACGGTTTCCACTTTGCAATATTTCTCATTCACTGGCTGGTTCTGTAGACGATTCGGTATCTTCACGGGACGGGTTTATTGAATATTTTTCGAAGGGAAATAAATCGCGACGAGCAGTTCACAGGATCCGCCGGCGTTCATTAATGGTTTGCTTCATTTTCGCAATAAGTATTCATTTCGCCGTCCCTCGTTGCGGCGAGGGCCTTCAATGAAAATCTGATTGTGCCTTCCTTTGCATTATGAATATCTATCAAACGCCTTATCTTCAGCTTTTATTGAGCTTCGATTGAACGTTAAGCAAATAGCGCGAAGAAAATCGTTTTATTAATGTGTACAATTTTTTTCTTCGGGTGTCGCTAGAAGTTGACGTTAACAATCGACTTTCAAAACGCAGGTAGATGTGTAGTGCCTTCTTTTGCAAGTGCTATGGAAAATGTTAATTTCCGGAGGGTGTTGTAGGGGTCGCACATAGTTACTTACTTTACTTCGTGGTTACCTGAATTCAGTTAATAGGTAGGTACGTGTTGAGGTTTTCTTACCTGTTACTGTTAGGCGCATACAAAATTAGTCTACGTTGCATTCTACCTAAAAACTGAATCGATTTTGATTCCTGCTTATTCGCTCATCTGAAACCTACCTACCTACTTAGGTACCTAAGTTTCAGAAAATATTTTCAGGCGAGGTAAATACGCTTACATGATTTTAAGTAAGTAAATAAGTAAGTATTTAAGCTAATGTCCTGACACGAAGTGATTACTTGTTTAGTGATGCTGACTTCCGGTTAATTCAAACTGATTCATTTTAATTAAATAAACAAGTATATATTTTATACTCAATATATGCAGCATTAAGCTGATATTAAATAAAGTCCTCCTAAGAAGTTATTGATACGTTTATTATTGATGTCAACGTTAAAATCTCAAAGAAAATATTGAAAAATTTGACACAGGGTTGGTTGCAGTTAAGTTATTGAAATCTTGTCACTTTGTAACGTTTGTTATCAAACTCCTTCGAAACGGTTTCATCATATTTTATTGTATTTTTTGTGTATTTTTGGTGGGTCAGAAAATAGGTCGGAGAATATTTTTTGGGCCTCCGATTAGTTAAGACCTATTCCTTTAATGTAGTGATCTCATAATGAACAAATATTAAAATCCTATTTTCCCAAAATGACTGATTGTCTAAATGTCTTTGCTTTAAAATGTCGGAAATAAAACTGCTAATTCATGTACAGTCGCTTACACTTTATTATAATAACGAAAATATTTACTTAAATTCTACATCTCTTCCATACAGTATAAAAATCTTCGTCGAAAAAATAGTATGGTGTCTAAAAAAAATTTAAAAATAGCCACTTTGCACGGGCAGCTTAAACTATTTTCGAACGCTTTGATGTGACCTTACAAGATACTGACCTTTTGCAAAATTTTACAATATTTATTTGTTACTTACATCTTGAATAAATAATACGCTTAATCTAACCTTATTTAGTAATAAATATATAATTTATATATTTAATGTTAAGTATTTATTTGCTCTATTTGTTTTATATGGTTGATATTGTTTGCTTTTCTCTTCAATATGACAATTGTAGTTTTCCATTTATTAAATCATTATATTGAAAAGAGCACCAGGAGCAGGAGAGCATACATGACTTAGGCCCGTATTACAGAAATACAAGTAAGTGTTGATCTTTACTTGAGTGCAGTAAGAAAGGGATGTCGCTATGTGCTATATAATAATAATAATAATATATAGCGACATCCCGTTCTAACTATGCTCAAGACTAGAGCAGTCACTGAGAATCTTTCTTAAATACGGGCCTAAGAGGTACTGAGTATAATAAATCTCTTCTTTTATTATTTATTTTAAAAAAAGCTCACGATGTTTTTCCATCATAGATCTGGCCAATGGATCTTCTGATATTGATCCGTTTACAAACTAAATCTAGAATTTCCACTTTTGTAAGAAAAAGATAGCCTAAAATTTATTCTGACGAAAGCGAAATTTGATTTAAAATGCATTTTGGTCAGAAAAAAAAGCAGTCTATAATTTATTCTGACTAAAAAGGAATCTGGCGAATATGTCGAATATGTAAATCATATTAAAAGATTTGAAAAAACAGTTCGCTTTTTCTCAAACATTATTTTTGATTTAATATCAATATTCTGGCAGACAATAAGAATTTACTATATTTTAAAAGAAATATCTACGTTTAGAATATCAGTCATTTTGGGAAAAGGTAATTTTGATATTTGTTCACTATGAGATAAGCGCAATATAGGAATTGTTCCAAATAGACCGGAGAGATTAACCGCTACATGGGACCCTCTTTAGTTTCTTTCAGACAATAATTTATTTTTATGATTTAGGTATCAATGATATGAAATAAATAATTTTAATCATTAATTTTCATTCTTCTATCACCAACGCTAATTTTAATGGCGGAACGAAGTTTCACAGCTTCTTTAAATAACAATGCATGGGTAGCATTTACATATATACGACTTTTAAAATCTAGGTATTAATAATAATTTACAACTTGCACATTGCATAACTATAGACATATATACAAAGAAACCTACTTTCTCAGAATTAATTCATGATAAATGGTTCGCAGTCCATCTTTGGTCAGCCAGGAGGGGGGTACTTAGCTGATTTTAATCAACCGCATGCAGCATTGCGCTACGATCTAGTTGCGTAGTCCTTTGTTTGAAGTCACGACTCTATATTAAGAAAGTATCCATTAATCGCTGAACGTATATAAAATTGGTAGGGATACTTGGACAAGAACACAAATTTCTTAAAAAAAAATCTTCATTCGGCGTCTTAAATTTTTATTTCCTCACTTTTGTTTTCACATTTCTATCAAGTATTTTTACTTTTACCCTAATCATTTTTCACCATTTCATCAATTATTTTTCCTTTTTTTAAATTTTTTCTCTTCCTTCCAGTCTATTGCCTCTACCTTCTATCTCAATCCCCTGATTGCATTCGGAGAAAAACAATTGAATTTAATTAAAGACCTTTTGTCCATAAATGCTATTGGTTATTATGATGAATATTTATCTACATTGTTATCACAAAATAGAGGAGTCAAAACAGCAGCAGCCTTATTTTTAACGAAACGCTTTTCCTAAAACTGGGTGTACAAATAACTAATATATAAAGATGAATTGAATACTGCAATCAGTGAATGGACCTGTTTAAGCAGGTAATTGCTTTACATTATGAATGAGTGCAGACCCAATAGATACTAAATATGTCACGTCGCGTCGCCGATATCGGGTATTTGGTGCGAATATCGGAGAAGGAAATGAAGAGTGCCGTCCATTTTCTATTACCGGGCGC